GAACGATCAGATTTTGCCCCAGATGAAGTGTATTAATGGCTTAATTAATAATTAAGGGGCCGCGGGGGCGCTGAGAAGGGCTGGAATTCTCTTTTAACCCTTTTTTTCCTTGTATGGTGACGTTTTTCCCCATTTGAAGCCAGATTGAAGCGGAAATCCCATTTTGGGGTGATTTCATGGGGACATTTGGGGGCTTTTCCCCCATTTCCCTCATTTTGGGGCCAATCTGTGCAGCGCTGCGTAGCCCCAAAACTGCCTCTTTCGGCCCCCAAAGCGCTCAGTCTCACCCCCACTCCCTTCTCTTTAACTTATCCATCCCCAGCGGGGCGGCCGGGGGACAATTATTATTTAATTTGTAAATAATGTATAAATTTTTAATAGCTTAATTGTACATACGGCGAATAAAGGCGACCCGAAGGTCCGTGCTGCGTCTCCTCCGTCCCCAAAATCCCTCCTTTCCACCCCATTTTGATCCCTTGCTCCGTTTCCTACCCCACTCCAAAACACAAACCGCTGCTCAACACCTTTTATTCCATTTCATCACACACTGGAGTCGCCCCATCTACCCCCCCAGGTAATTTTGGGGTCCCCTGGGTGTATTTTGGGGCCCTTTGGGGCATTCTGGGCCTCCAGCTGAATCCTGGGGTCCCTTGGGGGCATTTTGGGGCCCCCGGGGGCATTTTGGTGACTTCCAGATGCATTTTGGTGCCCCTGTGGACATTCTGTTGCTCTCCAGGTTCATTTTGGTGCCCCCAGGACATTTTGGTGCCCTCCAGGTGCATTTCAGGGCCTTGTGGGGTCGATTTGTTGCCCCCCAGCTCCACCAGAGGCCATCAGAACCCCTTGCGCAGCAGCCACTCTCGCACCTCGCTGTCCACGTGCCCTTTGAGGCGCAGCGTCCCGGTCACCTCGTTCACCTGGGTCAGCGGCTCCTTCCCCACACGCTGCCCCACAAACTCCCTCAGTTCCTTCTCCAGCGCCTGCAATGCCAAAAACACCCCAAATCGACCCTCAATGCCCCTTTTTTCACCTCTATCGGATTCAAAGTAAAAACACCATTAACCCCAAAAAGAACCCAAACGGACCACAGCTCCCCCCAGGGACCAAAATGCCCACTTTCACCTCAAAAAAACAAACAGTATCGCCCATTTTTCCCCTCCACGCAACCAAAAATCCCCATTATTACCCACATTTCATCCCAAAAGCCCCCAAACCCCCACTTTTTTGAGGGCTGATGACACCCAGCTGAGCAGTGCTGGCGGAAGGAAGGGACGCCGTTCAGAGGGGCCTCAACAGCTGCCAAGGTGAGTGAAAGCAATGAGGTTCAACGCAGCAAGTGCTGAACCCCCCTCAAGTGGGGTTGGTGCTCCATCGCCTCCAGGCCCCTCCCAGCCCCCCTCCCAGCCCCCCGTGCCCCCTCCTCACCCAGATGTCCCCTCGGATGCGGCGCAGCTCCGTGATGCGGCGGTTCCCGTTGGCCACCTTGCGGTACAGCGGCAGGTTGTGCATGCGGGAGCGGCCCACGTGGAACGGCAGGGAGGGGGGGGGTGCTGCGGGGGGGTCGTTCATTAGCTCAGTAATTCATTAATTACTCCAATTAAGCCCTCCCTTATTAACAACGCTCCTCCTTTCCCCCATATTAACCCCGTTTCGGGGGAAAGAAGTGTTGATTTGGGAGTACCCAAAGTACACAGCGATATGGGGGGGCAAAATAATCAACTAATTAATTAGTTATCCCAATTATTTCTTCTTCTGCTCATTAATAATATCCCCTTCCACCATATTAACCCCATTTTAGGGAAAAAAAGCACTGACTTGGGAGCGGTCACACAGGACAGCAGCAAGAGGGGGGGAACTGCAGGAAAGGTTATTAGTTAATTAATCAGTTAATTAATTAATTACCTTGTGGGGGGATCCACCCTGATGGCGTGGGGTAGGAGGGGTGCTGGGGGGGAGGAGGGACGCAGGCGGGGGGCAGCAGCCGCTCCACAAAGTGGAACTCCTCTGTGGATTCCACCACAGCGGGGTATGGGGGGGGTCCTGAGGGGGGGTCTGGCAAGGAAGAAACAAAAAGGGTATCAAGGGGGGGTGTTAATATTAATCAGACCCCCCACCCCAGAAATTGTCATCTCCCCCAGTGACCCCCCCAAAATTCCAACCCCCCCATTGACCCCCACTATGAAACTCTCCCCAATCATCGTCCCCCACGGACCCCCACCCCAAAATCATTCCCCCTCAATGAGCCCCCCCCAAATTCCAGCCCCCAAGGAATCCCCCCCCATTCCCATATCCCCCCACATGAACAACACATTCCCAAACACGAACCCACTTCTTCTCCCCCAGCCCCTCCAAACGAATCCTTCCTTTTCCTTCTCCCTCCCTTCAGGACCTCCCAAATTGCCCCTAGCTCCACCTTCTGCCCCGGCCCCCCCCCCCCCCCCAGCGCCCGACCGCCCCCCGGGCCGATAACACCCGCCCGAACTCCCACACTCTCCTCCTCAGCGCCGCCATTTTGCTTTTCCCCTCACGTCACCACGCACGCCTTACGTCAATGCGCACTCCTTACGTCACCGCGCACGCCCGGCGCATGCGCAGCATCGCCCTCTTCGGCCGCGCGCTGCGTTGTGAGAGGAAGCGCTGAGGTGCGGCTGCGGCCCCGCGGGCTCCTTTTGGGGTATTTTTGGGGGCTTTGGGGGCTAAAGGTGCCCAGGAAAGGCGGGGGGAGCCCCGAGAAAGGCTCGTGAAGCCTTAAAGGTGTTTTTTTTAATGGGAGGGGAGGCGTTTGCGGGGTTTCCGAGGGGTCTCTGAGGCCTTGTGGGGCCTTTAAAGGGGCCGGGAGGTTCTTAGGGGGATTTAAAGGAGCCGTGCGCCTTTCAGGAGCCTTCTGGGTGGGGCTTTGGGGCTTGTGGAGGCCTTTGGAAGGGACGTGGGGGGGTTAGGGTGATTTAAGGGGCGTTTGGGGCACTTTAGGAGAGGCCGTGAGGCTTTTGGGGCTCCAGAGGGGACTCGGAGGATTCTGTGGGGGTCCGAAAGGCATTTGGGAGGGGGCTTGGAGGGTCTTGGGGGACTGTGTGAGGATTGGGATTGTGGGGGTTGGATCTTAGGGGACTCTGAGGCTCTGGGGTGCAGGTGAGAGGGTTCCAAAAGACATCTGTGTGGACTCTAGGGGGGTCTGTAAGGATTTGGGGTTGCCTTTTGGGGGCTTTAGGGATTCTGGGGAGGGAAAT